CATTTGGTATTCATCATCATAATATCCATAAATATAATAGTATAGTTGATTTATTCATTTATAAGTACAAACACTCACACTAAAATTAAGAATTAACTAATGTCGAAAAAAGATAAACTAGCTTTAAGTTTTATTTTTTGTTTCGTGATTTAATCAAGTTTATTTATATCGATTAACGATTGTATTCTAATCACAATAACTTGGACCATTTACTGGTGAAGCGGAAATACCACCTTTTATATATCGATACCTATGTTCTTCAAGTCGAGGTGTTGCTACATTAGGATCAGTTATATCAGCTGTTGACCATAATCGTTCAGCAACGGTGGCAGCTCTTGGCCATGTTGTCGAAATAATATTTATTGCATCAAGAAATTCTAAACAATAAAAAAAAAACACTGTATTATAATTCCTCTTTTTTTTCCTAATAACTCACCACCACACATACAAGCTTCGCCATCGACTACTAATTTCTTCTATGCATCAGTACCTAGACAAAAAAAATGATATTTTTCAACACTTTGAAATCAAATCTTACCATGAAAAGTGTGTGGATCACATTTATAATAATTAACCCAATCTTTACTATAGGAAATATCACTTAAGTACCTTAAATAAAAATTCAGCTCCAAACAAAATAATACACATTCATTCTCTCTACCAGCATGCTGATAAAAGTGCTCGATAACCCAATTTAGTAATACGTTCTAATTCTTCTGGATATGGATTCTGACAAATGAGAATAAATTTTTCTGTAACACCTTCACCCTCAGGGAAGGATACGTGTATATATGTATATTTATCCGAAATCGCGAAAATTACGAGTCAAAAATATCAATTCAAACGATTTTTTCTTCATGTTGAAACAATTCCTCAGAACGTGTTGTCCAATTGTTCAAACGTATTTTAAAATGATTTTATGCATGGACAAGAAATTTTTCAAACATTGCACATTAATCGCAAAGAATTTCGAGTTTTCGAATCCAAATTTCACAAAGACATTGTCGCTTTTGGATAAAAAATAACCTTCAAATCAGAAGGTTTTACACTTTCAAGACAAGCAATAAACATTAGTTGCTCAAGAAAAATTCCAAGATTTTCAGCTAAATTCGATCAAATTCATTCAATAAAGTACCATTTTTTCCATCTGGAATCATGATTTCTGAGCACCCTCAGCTAGAGAGATACGTGCTGATGTGTGTGATAAGGATTTCCGTCGAATCCTCAACCTGAGGAAAAGACGCGTGCATCGATGTGTATTCATGCGCAATCTCGACTAATTCGAGTAAAATATATCAATTCATATAATTTTTTCCTCACAGAGATTTTTTTTCTCTCCAACTTGAAACAATTCCTCAGAAGGTGCTGTTCTTCGATTGTTAGAACCTATTCTAAAAAGATTTTAGTCTTTGAGAAGAAAATTTTCGAAGATTTTTCGAAATTTTGCATCACTATACAGACACACATACGTCTCTATTATTGAGGGTGCCACGAATATCTTTATCACACATACATCAGCACATATTTCTCTGCTAATGGTGCTCGAAAGCCGTGATTTCACGTGAAAAGCATATTCCTTAGTGGATGAACTTGATAGAATTTGGATGAAAATCTTTGAATTTTTCATTTTCTATTGATCCAATACAGAATCTGTTTTTCATATGAGATAATGATTTCCGAGCACCCTCAGCACTGAGATAAAGTGCTATAACAGTGTATGGGAGACATTCGTATGTTTTTCGACAAATTCTTTTAGCCAAAGGCTTATAGTAGGCTCTTTCTCCGAGGATTATCATCTAGTATAGGCAGTGCAAATATGGGATCAAATTATAGATCTATAGAGAAAGAAAAGCTGAAAATAAGTTCGTATTCAGTTAGTTTTGGTCCACTCTGTATATATTGATAGTCATGCACATAACTAAACAATTCAAATCAATTTTAAAAAGAGAGAGAGACAGATGTGTATAAGACTATTATTTTGGAACTTGTCGAATATTTTGCACGTTAACACAGTAACTTAAGATCTGATCAATGACCTTGTACTCATAATTTACAATACACATCGATTCATTAGTTTACATAGAACACATATTCATTAAAATATGTAGTACCTATATGAAAAATGCTCTAGACACTTCATAATCTATTCAAACTTATATTTTCCATTGAAAAAAAAAAACATTCATAATATTTTTTCTCTATAAATGCTGTCTGGTTGGTCAACATTGTAATATTTTTTTTGAACTTTTCTTAACATTTTGTAGAGGAGAAACAGTTGTACAATATATATAAAATTCAGCGTAGGATCTTTTAAAATGAGTGAATGGCATCTAAAATACTGTATACACCGCAAGAAATTGACCCATTTTTTTTTGCTCGAAAAATGATTAGTCATTAACTGTATTTCATAGGTAACTATCGATCAGTTTATGGAAAAATAATATGTAAATAGATAATTTTGTTCAGCTTTCGAAGCTCTATCTTTTGGTATATTACACGAAAAATTTCGTTAATTTAATGTCATCTAAACAAGTCTCAACTTTATAGGAACGATTTTTGAAAATATTCTTCGAACAGATTTATGAGTACTTGACCCATGTGAAAAAAATAAGGGGAATAATCAGATTAAAATCGATTAAAAAATGATTAAAAATCAATTATAATCATACACCTTTAATCGATTATTAATCAATTATGAA